TATGTAGGCATGCTATGTAGGGTTACCATGGTACATAGTACATACATAGGACTTGCCATGTAGGGTTACCATGGTACATAGTACATACTACATACATAGGACGTGCTATGTAGGCTTACCATGGTACATAGTGCATACATAGGACGTGCTATGTAGGCTTCGGTGAATGAAATGGTTACCATGGTACATAGTGCATACATAGGACGTGCTATGTAGGCTTCGGTGAATGAAATGGTTGGGGTTCAGGTTTGGATGTCTGTATATATGTATGTACCATAGTGCCATAGTGTGTACACATGCATAGAACACAGAGAGTACACACATAGGATGTACTATGTAAGCTTCTCTGAACGGAATGGTTTGGGTTTGTGTTGCAGATTTGCTGGACATAAGCGAACGATACGTTTACGAGGTGGGGAGCTCTTGGCGGTTCTCGATCAGACGACGGGACCGGAGCTTGAGGCCCGAATACGTCTGTTGTTCGAAGGTCATGCTGGTGAGCCAGGGGGACAGAGAGTGAAAGAAGATGGTGGCTTTTATTCTTTTCCTTTTGAATGCCTGTGCAGAAACTCTACATAATCCCCCCCCCCCAAAAAAAAAAAGATCGTCGTAACTTGGGGGAGGGGGGGGGGAGGGGAGAGGGGAGGGGGGAGAGTAATGGGATCGACCGCTACATCTATAAAGTAGTATAAACCCATGTGTACATGAAATTCAATCCTGCCCAATTGTAGTTCTACGCCCTTCCCAAATTCTAGCAATGCTGCAACGAGCGTTTTTGCTTTGTCTTTGTCTTTTTTTATTTTCCCTATTGTCCTCTATGGAATACGCATTTTTTTCACACACCAGTTGCTCGCTGAGCGGATGTTTGGCTTCACGACGGCAAACATCACTCGCTCACTTTTCCAAGCTGCTGCTGTCGTTAGCAGTCATAACAGAGAACGCGCCGACATCTTCAACACGCTTCATCGAACGCCCTACCTGCGACAATGAGCCCCTGCTCTTCTGGTATATAACATGGACGGACGTCATACTCCTACATGCTCTATGCTTGGCATAGTAGAAGTCAGCGTTTGACTTTCTGGCATGTGGTACTTGTACTTTCCGGTCTTCTGGTGGAATTCTCTAGCGGAAGGAGCCAACGTCCTGCGGCTACACATACTCTTGCATGGAACGGTGGCACGTGGCAGTTGTCTCTTTTGTGCCGGTGAAGGAGAGGGGGGGAAGGAACGGAAGAGGTGGCCGAATTCATCATCGGTATGTACAAGGTTTTATTGCAAAGCGATTTAATTTTTTTTCATCGCCGGTGTGTACGAGGTTGTATGCAAATGAATTTATTAATTTTATTTAGTTTTTTTTTTATTAAATGGGGGCTTATCCAGCTCCTCTGAAGGTAGCGGGGGCCAGACGGCGAGGTTGGTCTTTTGTGTCCGGATGCTCCGGGTGGACCGTCTGAGCAGGTCTGCATTTTTTTAAAGTTCATCTTGGCGGCAATTGCTCTTACGCTTGGGTGCGTCTTTCTCTCGGCGTGCCGTGACCTCTCGACTGTGTTTGCCCTCAATTCTACTCTTGAGGCTTGAGAGCTTTTTGCTGATATGAGCTTGAGGCTTTAGAGGTAATGCATGTGATCTTGGTCTTTTGTGTCCGGGTGCTCCCGGTGTACCGTCTGAGCAGGTCTGCGTCTTTCTCTCGGTGTGTCGTGACCTCTTGACTGTGTTTGCCCTCATTCTACTTGGGAGGTCTTGAGCTTATGCATGTGATGTTGGTCTATTGTGTCCGGATGCTCTGGGTGGACCATCTGAGCAGGTCTGCATTACTCCGAGTTCACCTTGATGACGAGTGCTTTTACGCTTGGGTGCATCTTTCTCTCGGTGTGCCGTGACCTCTCGATTGTGTTTGCCCTCGTTCTACTTTGAGGCTTGAGCTAACGCATGTGATGTTGGCCGGGTCAGCACTTGTGGTTGTCGGGTGGGGGGGGGAGGGGGAGGGGAGGGAGAAGGGGCGAGAAGAAAAAAAAAATTCTGCTGTTGACAAATGCACACGTACAGACCGTTTCAGAATCATTTCCCCGAATCGGACCCAAACCGGTCCAGAGTGTACATGCAGCGCATCTGGACCTGAAGAGTATGATCGGACCGTTGCCGGGAATACCTACCGTCTTCACCTGAATAGAATGCCTGTTTAGTGCATCTGTATTTCTCCGCCGTCTTTCTGTCCGGATACAGCTTTCGCTTTTGCTTATTCTCGTGAAGACGGTAGTCTGATATGAACCGATGCACAGTCTTCCTTCTGTCGATCATTCCGCCGATCATTCCTTATGTCGATCCTTCCGTATATCGATCATTCCTTATGCCGAATTTCGTCTTGTCTAGTTCCTGTGGGACAGTTTTCCAAACGCACAGGGGCATGCAGCCCAAGGTCGTATACACACGCGTTTATTTTGTCTCATTTGCGCGCTCTGCATTATGTATGTGGCACATCTTTATGGCAGTGTTCATCTTTTGTGTGCAGATGGTATGTCCAGACCATGTACATATTTGATTCTTCACAACAAGATTTTTCTTGGTGGTCGCTTTGAAGTGGTTTGGCGGCTCGAGAGCCAGTGCAGGATTGTTGTGTAATAAAACAATAAAAAACAATAAAAATTGCTTCTGAGTATTAGGAAACTGTGTTGTGGTTGGGATACAGACGGGGATGAAGGAAGGGAACGGCTTGGGATGCTTGCGTCCCTAGAGGGAGAGAGGGGGGGGGGGAGAGGTATGAGGAGGGGTGGGTCCTTCACACCCCTCCTAGAGGAAAAAGATGTGGGACAGCATTGAACTGAAAACGGGGAAAGGATTGGTATAAGTCATAATGCTTGCACAGTTTGTATTTGTACTGGAAATCAAAAGCCAAATCGAGCCTTTTTTTTTTTTTTTGGGGGGGGGAAGTGGGGAGCTGGGAGCGGAGCGCGGGCAAGGGCGGAGGAGACCATTTCCTGTTTTATGTGTGTCATCCTCGTGCAGGTGCCATGCTAATCTCTTCTCTGTATCATTCCGAAATTTAACAGATGTCCCGTTGGAGCTTTCACCGTTTTGCGTTAAGATCCCTTTTCTGGTTTAGCTCGGCTTAGGGCACCTGCATCAGCCTTTTTTTTTTTTTTTTCTCTCCCTGCATCCCATTCTAATTTCTGATACAGATGGACCACCACCTTCAGCCAAGCTGGGGACTGTCTTTTGCTTGGATCGGAGAGGCCACAAGGACCTACTGCATCGTGGATCTTGGATCGAGAAGTAGGGGGGCAAATGCCAAGCTCCACCTCATGAAATTGCGAGGAACAAGCCCTCACGGGGCCCTATCAGACATCACATGTTATGGGCAAAGGCCCCCAGCTAGCCAAGCGCCCACCCTAAGTGAAGGCGGGCGTGAATATTCGTCAAAGACCAAAATTTGACACTTTCATATGTGGGTATTCAGGCTCTTGCAGGACACCAGTTGGTTGAATGGACGTGCGAGCCTCACTAAGCTGCGTCGTACAGGTGGCCCAGGCCTTGACAGCTGCGCCTGGGCACATACACACAAAGCAGGGGCGATGCATTGAGAAGCAGGCCATCGGCCTACGCAAAAGCAGTACTGTCGACGCACCTACCTGGGAGCCCTGCACAGATGCAGCAAACAGCCCCAAGTCTGGAGACTCAGGCCGTGCCCAACTGTAAATGGGGCCCAGGCCCTTGGGCACAGGGTCTGAGGCCCAACCGGAAGCTACTGGAAGCTTCCAGCCAGGCCACACGCAGCATCCAGGAGGCTGCCACTTCCATAAAAGAAGTGAGGCAGCCCAGGCGAGGCATTCTGGCCTGCGTAGGCAATGCGGAAGTGCTGCTGCGCTACTGCCTGATGCTGCGCTGCGACCAAGGGCGCTGACGGGGCGCACAGAGGTGAAGTGGGGCGCTGCAGGGCAGCGGGGCGCAGGCGGCTATAGCCGGGCTGCTGGGCATCAGGGGGTAGTGCGGGTGATCTGGTGGTCTTCACGGAAGGAGGCGAGTGTGGGGTAATCAAGGTCTGACTGAGGGTGACGAGATACATACCTGGTGCATGAAGAGAGGTCGGATATGGTGTTGACATCATGTACATTGGTCTTCGAGAGTCGAAGTGAGCCTGTTGCGTGAACACAGCTGTAGGTAGGATAGTCGGGTAGAGTAGGCTGGGCACTGGGCGCACGACAGAGAGGAGCGCCTTTGGATACTGTGTTGGTGTGGCCTACGGGCTTGAATATTGGCTCATTACTTCATTGTATTGCCCTATATGGATGGTTTCTCGGTGCATTTATACTCTCTGCTTGGACAGGACTACTTGGACATCTGTGTGATTTCGCAACTTGGTGTTTCTGTATATCGTTCACACGCATATTCCTTGCAAAACAAGTAAAACGGCGTTAAAAAAGTAGTGGAATTTCAACGGGGCGGCAATTTGGGTCATAAAGGGCCCATTTTTGCTCTACTCCTCTCAAGTCGTTTCATAGGCTCGAATTAGAGTCAAGGTGAACAGGGTCGCCTCATAAGCTGATTCACTAAACCTTTGGGGGTGGTTCTACGACAACCCCCCCCCCCCAAAAAAAAAAAAAAAAAAAAAATCCCTCGCCCTCGCTGTGTATTGTGCATTTTTGATTTTTGTGTGAGCTCATGAATATTCTGATGCAATACTCTGGGTTTATCATGTTGGGAAAAAAAAAAAAAAAAAAAAAAAAATCATGTGCCTGGGCGAGTCAACCGGCGGCCTGAAGCCCACTCTCCGATAGCCCCCAAAATTTGGGACTAGAATCACCAGATCACTCTCCGAAAATCAACGTCCCCTCTCCGAAACCCCCCAAATTTTTTAATGGCTTGGTGCACACTATAACACTCAACAGACTCAACGCAATCGCTGTCCCAATGTTGTCGGCATCCTGGGCGTCTTGTTATGGAGCGGCTTCCTGGGCGTTTGTTAGGGAGCGGCATCCTGGCCGTTTGTTAGGGAGCGGCATCCTGGGCGTCTTGTTATGGAGCGGCATCCTGGGTGTTGATTTCGGGTATACGTTATGCAATTCATCATGTGCTCTTGAACTGCCAGCGAGCCGCTCAATGAGGAGAAGCAATAACCATTTACAACAAACATCAGCTGTAGACTCACATGCACAGCAGTGCACACACATTAATCATGCCGGAAACAAGAATACATTCACTCGAAGAAAAAAATCACTCCTACCCAATCGATGAGGAGAATTCGGCACAATGGTCATCCAGGTGTTGTTGCTATTGTAAGCGTTGATTTTTGGGGGTGTTACGCGATCCAACATTTGTTCTCGAAACACCAGCCAGCCAGTCGATGATGTTTTTTTTTTTCTGCTGGTTGGGCCAATGATTACTGGTAGCAATGAAATCCAGATGTCGGTCGTCGACCGCACTCAATGCATTGGTAGCGGCGGAATCTGGATTTTGGTTATCTACTCCATTTCACGCTTTAAAATAAGTTTATATAATTATATTATATTATTTATATAAATTAATATTGTATATTCTTTATTTCATTTCCTTTTATTTAAGTTTATATTCTTTTATATAAATTAATATTATATATTCTTTATTTCATTTCTTTTTATTCTCTATTCATATGAGTATGAAATTAATTTATGTAATTTTATTACTCTCGTCTGTTTTTTTTCTTTTCTTTTCCCTATAGAATCAAAATCAGGGATTCAATAAAAAGTATGAATATCAGTAGCACGCAAATATTCGAGGCAACATGCGTTTTTCCCTTACAGCTGATTGGATGTTGGATTACTCACGGACCATGGACTGCCTGGCAGTGGAGTGAACCGATTAGCGTTGACATCATCATTTTCATTGAAACCAGACCCTTTCGGATGTGTCCCTTTTCATTTTTGTTCTTCAACTCTTTTCGGCTTTCTGAAGTCCTTTGAGAACTTGTCAAGTAGTTCTCAGTGTTTTTCACTTTCCGTGGGATGTTGTTCTGTTTACTTAGAGTGGGGGCTGGATCCAGCGACCTTGCTCAGTTGGTTAGGCACGCCAGTGGCATTCAGGAGGTTGTGGGTTCGAGGCGAATGACCTCCAGCAGCGCGCTTAATAGTGCCAACCGACTGCGATAGTCCGCTTGAGACCCTTGATCGGTATTAGTAGGGTCTACGACGAACACGGGTGTGAGTGTGAGCGTGAGTGGGTTGTGTATGGTGTGTGGGGACGAACACGGGTACGAGTGTGAGCGTGACTGGGTTGTGTATGGTGTGTGGGCGAGTGTTGGCCACAGTCACTGCTGCTATTCAATCGGGGATGGGGGACGTGGATGGGAGGCAGAGCTACACTGGCAAAATGCCAGTTCGTTGCGATAGCCGACACCTCCCCACCGGGGGCCCCAGCCTACTGCCTGACCACCGCCAACTAGGGCGGGGGGCAACATGCATCCGCTTCATTGTGAGAGGTAACTATGCTTGCAGGGGTCCCCAGTTTATAGGCTTAGGAGTAGTGGTAGGTACTAGGTAGATAGTAAAAGGTGAAATTGAGAGAAGAATATAGCGTAGCTGGAAATTGATTGAAGGTGCAGATAAGTCAAGGTGGTACTACTAGTACTAGCACAGTGAGTGAGCCTTCTGAAGTTTAATAAAGGGAAGGATCTTCGATGTGGAAATGAAATTATACTCGAGAAACAAGGCAAAAAAATAAATAAAAAATGTCATATTTTCAAATTTCAATCGAATAAATCAGAAAAAAAGCAGACGAAATTCTGTGAGTGAATCATCAATTCAATCACATTGAATGCGATCTTTGCGATCTGTCTTATGCTTGTTATCATGGTGCCATAGGGCCCAACGAACACATACTGATGGACTTGCGGCTGCAAAGTGGGAGGCCGGAGCTTGAGTGGGAACGATGGACTTGCGGCCGCAAAGTGGGAGGTGGGAGCCT